ATAATCAATGCAAATAAAGAATAAAGGACAGTGGGAAAAATAGCTATGCTTGAAAACAAAATGTAAATCATACAATCTCGAAATAAACTTGATAGAACGTAGAAATGTCAATACTGATGAACAGAGAACACATATTTTTTACATAAAAAATTATTTTCAATCTTGGAAATTATCAGTTAAAAATTTTATTATGTATAGAGCAATCTATGGTAATATATATTTTTTTGGAGGGATCCTATAGATCCACATGGAATATTCCGCGATAAATATTCCGTCATTCGTGGATAATTCATGGATAAATAAAAAAAATACTAGAGGTACTTAAAAAAAGCCGAATAGAGATGATTGAGTGGATAATAAAACGCTGCTGTGCGTGTGCAAAAATTTTTCTTTCCGTTACTTTCAAATTCACGCCAATGTCAGCGACGAGGACTGCTCTGTCGGTCGGGAGCACTTAGAAAATCGATAAGCCCCGGCTCGCTTGATCCGCCGTTAGCTGCTGCCAGGCCATATCTTGATTAAAATCAGTGCCGCCCGGTACTCTCCTTTCTTCGACATTTCCCCGCCGGTTCCCTCGCCGCCTATGTCGTTGCAACCATCGTCGCCGTCGCCGCCGCCGCCGCCGCCGCCGCGCGATGAATCCGGTTAGTCTCGTTAACGTCCTAAGTCACCGGTAGTCTCTTCCGCGCCATTCCCCGTCACTTTCTCTTTTACAAAACGTGGAAAAAGATCCGCGACGGGGAAATCATCCGGGGGCGCCTCTTGCTCTGGGATGTTCGCTTGCAATCGAACGGGATGTCGGATGTTTGGCCGTTTCTGGTCGTTGGTTGACCGCATTGCACGATCTGCGCTCGACGAAAGTGAAAGCTCGCATACGCTGCTCGACGCATAACCGGTCGCGTGCTGACCCCGGCCAGGAATGCACATCTAGCCGGTATTAATTCCACTCGCTTACAGAGAGCGATGCTGCTCGAGCGAAATCGGTCATAGAAAGTCCTTCCTTTTGTTTTCGACGAGATCCGCCGATCGCGCGGTAGGAAATTGAAAATCAAAGATTTCATAATTCTTATGTAGGCGTCGAAGTTGATGTAACTTTCGTACTGCGGACACGCGACGATCATGCGAGAATTGTTAGATGCATCGCACTTAGCCACTTTGTTCCGCATTAAACGCCTGTTCGCACGGTTGCGCTTTGCCGAGCGCGGAGGGCGGATTAGTCCGATCGATCTTCTCTTGAACGCGCGTCATAAAGGATCCATCGCATTTGATCGAGATAATACCATCGTACCATCATTGTACGCTAACGAACCTTAGCGCTCGCGGGGATGACACGCGTACATTTACCACGCACGCAATATGCCGAGGATGCCTCAGGCCAAGGTATTCCCCGTAGAGGGGACGACCGTAAGACGACCGTACCTAAGATCAATGTGTGTCAGGGGACTACTTGAAGGACCTATGCGCAATCCGGAAGCTGATCGACGGAGAGACGGACAGAGAGATAGAGATAGATAGAGAGAGAGAGGGGGGGGGGAATAGATAGATAGATAGAGACAGAGAGAGGGGGGGGGGGGATAGATAGATAGAGAGAGAGAGAGAGAGAGAAATGAGGGATGGGTATTGATAAGTGGGTGCTGTTTACCGTGCTCAAATGTTGACCGAACTCCCTCGATCGTCTCCCAGCACCATATTCTGCTTTCAAACGAACCTCGCCTTCAAACGAGTCCATGGTGAACTCTCATTCGTGTGGTGGGCCAGTCAAACGACGCGAGTCTTCCAGCATCAACAAGGAAATTGTTGAAATTAGTTCTACATTTTTTTTTCCTCTCTGTGGGAAATATCTAAATATTATGGATAAAATATATCTCAGACATAACTTCTCTCTTTTTTTTGCATAAGCGTGGTAGATATGTAGTATATCTTCCATTTTTTTTTTTTTTGTCAAAAAATCGAAGTTGATTCCGTTGTTCCGGAAATTCAAATATTTCGAGTTGCTGACTATCCTGCGAGCACAATTGATGCATACATGAATACAACTTGAAGAAAAATGACATTAAGCAAATATCTTTTGAAGTATTTACAGAAGAAGATACGATTCAAATTCACGCAAATCGAGAACATTTTTGTCCAACGAAATGACGGGGTTACATATTTTTCTACATGTTTGATATTATAGATTCGGAATATGAATAAAAAGATCGGTCCAACTTATTTTTTGAAAATTTCCGATTTTACCAGCGTAGAGGATATCGAACATGGTCGCGCATGAATATAATTCGTCATTTAATAGCTTACCATATCGTCGATTTCGCTGCCTCAATCGCTTGAAACCGATATTCGGTTCGAATGTCGAGCGATTTCAAACTTCGATATAACGCAAAATCCTTTGAGTTGTTCGAAAAAAAGAGTGCGCAATGAATTTAAATCCGTGTAAAAATCGATCTTTTGAAATTCTGTAGAAAATATTATTTATATCGTGTGTGTGCGGCAATTAAATTATTATAGTTTTGATAATGCTTTTCATTAAAACAATCATGAAGCTATACATAATTATAGTCTGATAGAAACATATAGTGTAATTTTTAGCTACATATTATAATTATTATATTTGTTTTTTATTGTAATTTGCAAAATTACATAATAATTGAGATTTTTAAAAACATGTATTCAATTAAAGTCTGTTTAAATCCAACTTTAGATTTTATTTCTGGAATGAAGAAAAAAACAGGCGCATTGACTAGTCACTTCTTTAGACTTATTCGCGCATCATTCCTAACAAAAGAATGCTTATCGGGGGTATTTTAATATTGTATAATATTAAAAATATCGATAGCAAGATATTCGTACCTGTTTCCGTGTCTCGTTGACGTATATCGCAGAAACGGATTGACGATCAAGACATTGTTGACGTCACTGTTTAGAAATGATGCTGAAGGCTTTTATCCCACCCTTTTTCGTCGTCCACCCCGTTCGGTACTTTTGCGTCGACATTGGCGGGGAACTTCTAGATGCTCGCGGGGGGTTTTTCTTCGTCCACAGGCGACGGTACCGCTTTGTCCGTCCAATCTCCCCGCTATAGCAGCAGGATATTACGATGATGCGACAATGAACGCAACGATCGCTATCTGCGATGTGCGTCCTGTGTTAGGGAGAGAGAGAGAGGTGGAGGGGGAGGGCGGGTCGAGCCACCCTTGCGGATCCCGTGAACACGCGCGTGTATCCGTGTGAATGCTCTCACGTACACAGACGCGCACGCGTGTACGCATGTACGTATACACGCGACTATATGCGCCACCAACTAAACTACCCCCGACTGACGCCTAAACCTGTTCCTCCCCTTTTATTATGGGCTGCGACGGTTATTGGATTGTACCGTGCTATTTGTTGGCTGCCACGCTAATGGATCCATAATCACCGGGACGAATTAACGCGCTACAACGACGCTAACGGGCCGCTACTTTAAATACAGAAACGCCCGCACGCCACTTATTCCGCTGCACGGACGCTTAAACGATCGCCGTTGAGAGAATTTTCGGATTGTTTACCACGCTATAAAACGTTTTGTTTCAACGCGAAAAGATATTAACACCGATATAACGAATTATTATACTTTCTGTGTTAAAGTTATATTAAATAACGTTTTACGGAATAAAGCAAACAAAAAAATATCGCTTGGCTGCGCTTGGCTTTTTTTTACTGCGATTTTCGAATGTAATAGAACTTGTAACTTTGGACCTTCTCGCATAGATATGTTTGATAAAAGCCTTATTCATTTATGATTTAAAAACGGAATTAAATCCTGAAAATATTTGAGACGTATTTCTATATAATTATTTCTACATTTTACTATCTAGTCAAGACGTGTAATTTATAAAAATATTTCTGTCTTGATAGTTCTTCAATTTTTAATTTTCTAAGGTAAAAATTATGATTCTACTCCATTTTTTTAAATAGTTTTATACATTATGTAAATATTTTCTTTGAAATAATATGAATAATATTTTTGCACTTTTTTAATTAAACACTTTTCGATATACATATTCTATGAAAGGAGTTTCTAAAGGAACCTAGCGAGGAACGGTCTTTTCGCGCGAGTTTCATGGCCGGTTCCCTAGGGATTATGGGCTAAGTCCTAATCCGCTAATTTCATTCTTCCTTTCCGCCTTGAATCTCTATCTTTCAGAGATACTCTTGGTTACGTAGTTTCGGCTTTTAAATTTACTCTTTTTCGAAGCGCGCCAAGCGATCATCGTCGGGGTTCTCGAGATCCCGAAATCGAAACACACGCTCTCTGATCTTTACTGCCACGGCTGGATCTTCCGAGATATATGTATATACATTTGCAGCGCGCCCGGCTTTACGGGCCTGTCGAGCAAATGAAATGAAATTCATGCAAATCGCGGAACCGCGCCGACTTCCCTTTGCGCTGTCGAGGTGGCATCGCATCGGTTTTGTATCGGGGCGACGATGCGTCCAACCTACATCACGAGGGTGAAACGTACTTCCTCCTCGGTCTCTCGGCCCACTGCTCGTTTAGATAAAATTTGCAAACCAACTTGATCATCTTTTGAGAAACTTTAGTTAAATTATATTATCGTGTTGTCGAAAAATACATAATACAAGTGCAAATCATACTAGAAAAAGAATTAATAAATCGTAAAAAATTAAGATTAAAATAAATTTTGATTATTATTTTATTTCATTGTACAAATGCGTGTATCATTATAATTATTTTATTTGTGAAAAACTTTTGGACATAAGTTATATTATATTTATGTCTCTTAATAGCAGTTCTTTTTTATTTTTGATAAGTAGAGAACAGGCTACGTTGTTTACAATTTTATAAATGTGTTCTAGAAATGGCAATATAAATTCTAATAGAATATAGATAATAAATATCATGATATATAATAATTATTAGATAGTACGTGTATTCTTTTAATATGTGCTATTTTATATGAAAGAGGAAGCTCTAATCATGATGTTATTTTTATTTCCAGGTTATGCCAGGAACGGACCCAATTATTATGGCGAATTGATCGGACCTTTACAAGAATATGCGCATGGTATCAAAGGTACAGTGTATGCTGTTGATGATGCAACGATATTTATAAAAGGATTCTCTTACGATGGTACCGGTCCGGATGCTTATTTCTGGGTCGGAAACACCTCTCGGCCCAATCCCGATGGTTATATCGTACCTTATCCAGAGTCTGATAGCAGGTAATTATTGACGTTACTTATATTTAAAGTATTATATTTGTTATACATATCTTTTACGTGTGAGAAATCGTTTGATACATCAAATTGAACATATATGTAAAAAATGTTAATAAATTGATCACTTCTGTCCATGCTAATTTGATTTTGAATGTTATTCAAAGATTTGTAATTACTAGAAGTATAATAGATAAAGTCACATATATCTATCAAATAAAAGAAAAATAATATATAATATAATATAAATTAATTTGCATTAATTTGCTATTCGATTTTGTTTTTTACTTATTTTATATATAGCAATTAAATAATTTTAGAGAGGATGTCTCAAAATTGTCAGATGTTCTTTTAACAGTGGGCTTAATGCAAATATCAAGGTATCAATAATTTTTGAATTAAAAAACTATTTAGAGAGAAAAAAGGGCTTTTTAATTGAATTTTATGGAAAAATTAATAAAAAATTAACTTCTTCAGCAGATTTGAGATGGAATTATTTTAATAGATTTTTTGCGGCTTGGTTATACAAAAATATTATGAAAAAAAATGAAAACTTGCAAAAAACGACTTTCTCGATATGTTGGCTAACAATAAGATAAAAATCGACTCCAAATTGGCCAGAGAATCTGCTATTAAAAAAATATTCAATTAGATTTTGAAATACTCTATACAAGATGGAGAATCAAATGATCGTTTAACGCAAAAAAACAATAGTTTACGTTGTTTTATATTATGGAATATACTTGTCCGCGATTTTTCTAACGCGCGCTACAGTGGACAGAAAGCAACCAAGTAGAAACGTAATAAAGCGCTCGCGCAGATGAGATCCGGACGAGATCGGCGTATAATTCCCGTTTTATTAACTGCACTCTCCCGCGCATCACGACTCACTCGCGTTCGGCCTTCCTTCTGTTTTCGTCCCCTGTCCTCCCTCTGTTCCCTCCTTTCCGCATATAAGCACCGCGTCGCGTTACCCTCCGTCGCGCCCGCAACGGGCTCTTTGAATTTCATTTCATCCCTTGGTTACGGACTGCCGCGCGCATTCGTCCTGTATCACTCTCACTACCGCACCCTTCCTTTTGGCCTCCTACATCCCTGACCGCATGCACAACCCGCCCAGCCCTCGGAAACCTCTGCTCGCTTGATCGTCCGCACGACACACAGATTCGCCGGCGATATCAAAAGACGTGAAATCAATCGAATCCTTGTAATAAAAACGGCATAAGTTTATCGTTTCCGGAAATTTAGATAGCTATAATGGGATGCGTTTGCGAGAATGCGATTTTATTTAATTACAGCGCGATAGAAATTTCGATGAAAATGGATGCAGTTAAAAATTACAGAGAAATAGAAACGCACGGTTCCTTTTTACCCTTCTAAGAAATTTCGATCCTTATCGTTTATGCAGTTCTCTAATGTAATTAATATAATACTTGCCAAAAATATTTGAATTATACTTTATTACACAATCTATGTTTAAAAATTTATACTTTTTATTGTTTCCTATATTTTTTTTGCTTCTTTTTTTTAGCACCGATCCACGAGTATTGGAGGCGTACAATCACACGGACATTATTCTGAGGTTACCCGGAGGGAAACGTATACGAGACATCAAGTGGCTGAGCGTTTGGTGTAGAAGATTTACGGTGAGTAAATTGCAACGATCGATCAAGATCTCGAATAATATATTATGCGTGTTTTTCACACATGCCGATTTTATTAGAGCAGGATTCGAGATTTAAATTTTTTTGTCGGCGAAATTTCAATGAATAAAATATGTCCTAGATTTCTCTTTCGGAATACTATAAATTATATCATAGATATAATACATATGATATATAGAAACCTGCTATTATTAAATAATAAGCTATATCCAATGATCGTAAAAATATTATAATCAGCCATCTTCTGGGCACTTAAAATTATTTGCTAAATAACAATGCGATCAATAACTTACGTAGAAATTTACGATGGCATATTTTATTTTTGACCATTCGCATTGTCAATGGTCACACGTTAGTTCTTCAAGAATTATTCGTGTTCGCGCGAGACTCGTCAAGACATTCTCTGATTAACTCCTCGATATATTGCGCGCGTTTTACTCCAAACGTCACACACGCGACGAGCAGAGAATAGAGATAACTTGATTTTTGAGAAGGTTCAGAGGGAAGCTCTATCGGACGTGCATTCGGGGTCAATGGTGCGTATGAGATGGATACGGAAGCCGAGTCTCGGGATCTGACACGCGTATGTGCGCGTGCTACGCGTGCACGTGCGCGCATATGTGTGTGGGTGGGTAAGCCCTTCTCTTTTTTTTTTTTAGCTTTCTCCGGGCTTCTCTGTTCGGGTGCATACCGGTCGAAACGATTCGGCATCTCTTTATCTTTCGGGTATCTCTTTCACATGTGTGCAGACGAGTAAACACACGAGATACCATCAATAATATCATATCGAAAATTGCTATGTGCGAGAGAATATTGAAATTTACATGCATTATTTCAAATTTTTGAAGAATCTGAAAATATAATTATTTTAATCTATGAATAATATTATATTCAAACGTAAAATATATCTTCTAACCGCACGAGTTTATACTCCTTTTTCCAGTTTTTTTTTGCATTTAATTCGACAATAGGAAGCTCAGTGTTTTCTTTCTTTTACTTTATTTCTTTTCTTTACACGGTGCACGCTTATTTTCGAGTTAATCCAGCTTAGCTCTTTCAATTGCTCTCATCAAGAAGTACACAAATTAGAATGTAAGATATATCCCCTCTTAAACAGATTCCACTCTTTCTCTCGCTTGAGCCGGAGCTTAAAAATCTCGGTGCACGCGAGTCTGTACGTTTAAGCGGGGCTACCTTTAGTTTTCCCTTTCCCCTTTTATCGGGCGCACACGTATGAATATAACGACACACATACGCGATATATCGCCTTTCTAGGAAGGGGAAAAGGTTTGAGGCGAGCATATCGACGATAGAGAGCAGAGCTTTTGCTCTTATATTAGAGGAGGGCTTTAATATCGAAGTCTGAGGGGTGCTCCCGTACCGTGACAACCCTCCATCAGACACGCTCTGTCACCGCAAAACGCGCTGTCCGCCGCCTACGGTCCATTCTACCGGGTGTATCATTACGATCGCCGCGAATCATTATTCGGGATTTGGCATAAATTGTTCTCGTTTACAGCCGCCTCAGCGATCGACGAGCGTAAACCCGGGAGAGAAAAGATTTTACGATAGAGGTTTCTTATATCTATATATATCGCCTCGTATAAAAAATACTTCAAGTAGCAGAAACGAGCCTTCTTGTTATAACGGCAAACGGTTGCCTATCAGTTATTGGCGCTCGATTGTTTTGGATAATGAGAAAGAAGAGAGATATAAGTATAACTCTCTCGCGGCCGTTTATACAGGGTGTCCCCAATTTAAATGTCAAAACTTTAGGAGCGTGTAGGGGACCGATAAACTAAGACAAAAAGTCCTTTAGAGATTTGCTCGTTTTTGCTTCGTTTTGAAGAAAAACGCAAAAAATGAAACAAATAATTTTCACCAAAAAACTTAAAACAACACTAAAATTATTAGATTTATCAAAAAGTATTATAAAATAAAAATTGTAGAACATGGAATTAAGAAAAGAGAGTGAGTTAAAATTTTCCTGAGGTAAAATTAGAGGATTGTAGATAAATACGCGACAACGCAAAATTTTGTTTCTAATCTAATTTTACCTCAGGAGGATTTTAACTCATTCTCTTTTTTGAATTCCATGTTCTACAATTTTTATTTCATAATACTTTTTGATAAATCTAATAATTTTAGTATTGTTTTAAGTTTTTTGGTGAAAATTATTTCTTTCATTTTTTGCGATTTTCTTCAAAACGAAGCAAAAACGAGCAAATCTCTAAAGGACTTTTTGTCTTAGTTTATCGGTCCCCTACACGCTCCTAAAGTTTTGACATTTAAATTGGGGACACCCTGTATAGTCAGTCTATGTTCGTAACAGTTATCGTTCGTTTATATCAATTATCAAAATGAAAAATAAACGAGAAATTTGGTCAGAGGTTATGTTTATATATAGAAATAATAATAATAGAAAGTTTTATATATACATATATAAAGACAACAATAAGTATGAGAAATGCTTTTCGTGAGAAATTTAATTCCATTTTCTTTCTTAAATTGCGCGGAATGTATTGCATTTAGAATAATATAGATCATTTAATAATGTAGATGTCATTTAAAATTAAATATGCGCTACCTCACGATTTTTTTTTCTTCACATCATATTCTTATTATGATGCCAAGAAAACGCGACATATCCAATTTGTCACTTTCGTGATGTTTCGTGGAGATTGTCTTGAAACAGTACATTCAAAAACGCGGAACGTTTTCGATCAAACAAGATATTTTTCGATTATGCTCGATCACAAAGGAAAATCTTATAGTGCACTTCATCGAAACATTTCTAAGATTTCCGACTTTTGTACGCGTGCTTCTCTTTCTGTGATTTGCGCAAGAAGTGGATTTCTCTCTCTTTTCCTTTTTTTCTCTCTGCAGGCTGATACCATACATAGCATGTAGGAGGGAGTTGTAGGTTTTGCTTAGATATCTGGTAGACAGGAGCTGTCTATCAGTCAGCACTTCCTCGCGTTACGCCCGGAGAGAGGATGTATTGTCAGAGTAAACCCTCTTCCCACTCCTTCTTTCTACCTTTTCTCACCCTTTCCTTCTGGCTCTCGGGATCTCCTTCCGTTTCCTCTCAAAGACACATCTCCCTTCCCCTCGGCAACGTATCCTTCTTCCTTCAAATCCGTCGGGCTTCCTTTCAAAGGAACAGAGATATCCTTTGGCAATATCAAACCACCGCTCAATAGACCACTGATTCAGGTAGGATTTAGTAATTTTTTTCTTCGTCTATTCTCCCTCTATTTTTCGACCGCCGTCCGAAGCGGACAGTCATGCCACTTTCATGTGTGCGTGTGTGTGTATTGCATGCAGAGATGTTGCGAGAGGGTGAAAATGATCCCATCATTCTTTTACGATTTTATCTAGCAGCGTTGACGTTTCTGACGTCAGTAAGACGTCATTAAAACGTCATTTGACGTCACCACGATTGGTTTGTCATCTCGATCTTCTGTTTTCCCTGTCTTCACGCTTTTTAATATTTCATTTTCTCTCGATAACTCTTACTCGCGATTAATAGCGTTCTTACGTACCGCATTGTAAATGCGTGAGTAGGATGCTATCGATTGAATAAGAATTCAGAGACAGTGTTCCATTTCCTTGGCTTATAAGTACCATTTATTGGAAAAATGTTGAATATCTCGTATATAACAATTCGAGATTTGATGCGTTGCACACAATTAGAATGTAAATTAAGCGAGCTAAGATATATCGTCCTTAATTTCCGGGGTTCAAATGTTACATATTTTGCACGTAATAATGAAAGATAATATCTGGAAAGTTATATAAAGTTTGATTATGCAAGTTACCTATTTTAACATATTATTTTTAAAATTTTATTCAAATTACATTTTTCTATGAAAATAAAAATATTCATATATGATGTAACAATGTCAGAATAAACATTGTATATTTATGATTTTTAATATATATTTAAAAGCATTTCATTCATATATTGATATCACGTGTAATGCAAAAAATTAGTCATTATATCTTCTTTTGAATCTTTCCATGATTGGGATTATTATTTTTATATGTGTCTGTGTGAGTCTGTAAGAGAAAGAGAGATTGGGATTTTTATATGATTATTATATATCACAAATATTACAAGAAAAAAACCAAAATTAATAAAATAATGAATAAAGTAACTATATATATAACTATATCGATAAAACTATAATAAAAAATATAATGCATTTGTTTGTTATAAGTAATTTTAACAATTAATATATTTCTAATCGTGCATTTATATTAATATAAAAATATATTATTATGAAAATTTATATATTTTAATAAATTTTAATATATTATTCACGAATCTCTATAAATAATATTTTATGCGTAGACAAAAAAAAATAGTGATGAAAATATCTTTTAAGGATATAAAATTAATATGTAATTGCGTTAACGTTGGTTGTCTTTTACGGGTATCATTTTTCGGTCGATTACAGCATTTTTCACTTTCTGGCTGACCTATGCGTGACATGAACCACTACGCCACTCGCGATCAGCGCGATCGCGTTTGTCGTTTCTCGTGGCGTGACTCATTCGTGCATCCGATTAGACCAACGACAAATCATGTAAAGGCAGACACCGTGTTACACTATCTCACCGATCGTGCATTGTGCGCGTTCATTGTTCGTGTTACATCATCACGATGCAATAATTCAAAATTATTTTAAAATCCTCAACCGTGTAATATATTTTAATGGCAAATAATTTCAGCGATTATATGATAATATTTCCAAGCGAGACTTTCAAGTTTCAAAACAATGGGGCAATAATCCGCTTCTTTCTATTTTTTCTTGCCATCTTTTTATCCTTCGAAAAATAATGCTACTTTTGAGAAAACGAGACTTTCCCCAAGAGCGAAGAAAAAGACAGACACTTTCGACGTCTCTTTTTTATGTCTTTTTAGAGAGTTTTCTTTTCCTGC